GCGCGCCCCACATGTGTCGCCAGCTCGGCGCTTCGCCCATCGCTGGCAAAAGCAAAGATACGCGACGGTTCGCAATGTGAGATAATAGTGTGACGTTCCGTCGTAATGTATATAGTCTTGCACTTGTATGGAATCTTATCATAGCGACGCCTTGCTCCCTCGTAAAGGGCTAGCCGTTGGGGGACTCGGGGCGGCGCTGCTGTTGCTACTCATTTAACCAACGTTATCCTAACCACAGTATCCAAGCGTAATCTGGTCTTGCTGTTCTGTCATCGACGACACCCTGCAGGAGACTTGGCTTCTTGATAGAAAGGCTCTCAGAAGACACGACTCGAACCCAAGCCATTGCCCGACCCGCGATTGACGCATGCCACGCTCGTTGAGCTGCTCGCCTCCATTGATGCCACCGGCGGTCCCATGCGATCGAGCACCGCCGAGTGTACACGTTGTCACTGCCAACATGGTTGGACGCGCCAACTTGCGAAACGTCCGTGTTGCATGCGTGAAAATGGCGTCGTGGCCGGGGTTCGAAGTGGCACTGCCGAGCGCAAGACACGAGGCGACCAATCTCGTCGGCTTGGCGCACGAGCACCGAACTGTGTCGCGTCGTCGACGGCCATCGCGGCCGTGAGGTCAAAGCATGCGCCGTCCGCGTGCCATGCGCGACTCCGCGCCTACCCCGATCGTTCGCCTAGTGCAATGAATGTCAAGAAGCCCACCTCATGCGGCGATCGGGTCGGCGCAAATGACCATCGCACACATCGAAAAGTCGACGCCTTCGCACGACACCGACGTCGACACCATGGCCCGCTGCCCGACTCGAACGCCGAGACGAGCTGCGTCATATCGGCTGCGTCTTTCAAGCCCAATTGACCGAGCACGCGCCCAACGAGCGTCCCGCTGGGCGGTGGCGGGAAGTGCGCGTTGAGCTAGTCGGTGGGTCAGTTGACAAAGATGACACACGTGAGATTGTCGTCGGTGGGCGGCGCGTCCAGCAAGCGCATTCGTGCGCGTGGACTCATGCACATAATAGCCATGTTTACTCAGGACAACAAGACCATACATCGTACGAGCAGGAGGAATTGAGCCATTGGCGTTGGACGCAGGTGGATGACTACACCGTGTCGTTGTCCCTCGCTTCTTGCATCCCAACGCAGTTGAGTGATGTGGCCAGTCCAACGTGTCATCTTACCGTGACGAACGCACGTGGCATCCGTGTCGTCGCGTGCTTCACGGCGCCACGCTCGGCCAACTACATTCGAATTTGAAGTAATCGGGACTTGAACTGGCATTGTCAACACGGCCGAGCGCTCGCCACCATCCCTGAGAGGTCGTGGTGCTGTGGGCTTCGTGGTCAGGGTCCCCTTGAACGTAGACACGCGACTGCCAAGTCGCTTCGAGCCGCTTGTACATACCACTCTCTTGAGCTCCACTCGGCCTGCAGTGCGGATCCATTCTGGTCCACCTCGAGTCCCAGTCGAACTCACTTTTATAAATGTAGTCGATCTCCATCGCAGGTAAGAAGAGACGCACGACAACAGCGCGACTACGTGGCGTTCCCGCCTGCGTGATAGTAGACTCAAAAGCGCGCGAACCTCAAACTCAAAATGAATTGTTGAGCAACGCCAGCTCGCCGAGACTGCTCTGCGCACATCGAGAAGCTCTCCTGAGCGTCCTAGACGCGTACGCGCTGGGAGGCTGCGGCAGTGCGAACGAGCAAGCACCTCGAGCCATGTGCTGGTATTATAATAATCGACTTGGGTTTTGTATGTAATACAATGCATTCGGCAGTTGAAGAAGACAGGCCATCATGACACGGACGATGTGCGAGGTCCTTGTGCCCAAGACGATCGGCCGCCGGGACTTTGACGGGACCGACGTCCGCGCGATCGCATCCGAAGCGCGCTGCAAGGTTCACGTCGAGGCGTCGCACCTCTCGCCCGTCGCCAACACCCGCCTCCTCGTGGTCGCCGGCGACCCGGACCAGGTCGGCCGCGCGCTGGCCGCGGCGATGGACCACGTCCAGCGCCTGTCGGCAGAAGCGCGCCGGCTGCCGTGCACGGCCGCGTACCGCTACGTGTACGGCAAGGCGTCGCTGTATATCCCGAGCCACTTTGCCAACGTGCTCTCGTCGCGGCGCGACCTGGTTGACGCGCTTCTGGTCGATGGCAGCGGCGACATGCTCATTGCGCCGACCGAAGAGATGTCGATTGGCATCACGAAGCGACAGGTGCAAGTCGTGGGCACCGAGCCCGAGGTGCATGCGATCGTGGCCAAGCTCGACGCGAGCTTGCAGCGCCATGAAGCGTGGCGGCTTTCCCAGCAGCTGCAAGGCGACGAAGTCGTGCTCAAGTGCGTCCTCAAGAGCAGCGACCTCGCGACGTGCGACCAAGTGATCGAGCAACTTGGCTCGCGCTTCACCGTCAGCGTTTCGACGTCGTCGGGGACGCGCGACCGATCGGTGCTGGCCATCTCGGGCTGCAAGCACGAGGTCATCCAAGCCACCATGTACGTCGCCGCTAAGGTTACGTCCAGTCGACCTGCGCCATCGAACGCGCGCCGCCGAAGCCGCGAACGGGGGCCGCCGACGGAGCGACAGCGCGCACGGCCTGTCCCGAAAGCGTTCCAGAGCGAGCCAGCTCTGGCGCCGCATGTGAGCGCAGAGTCGGACGCACCAAGAGCACCTTTAGAAGTCAAGCGCGAGGCAACGGTCGCAGCGGCTCGTGGGACCATCGACTTGAACGAGATTGGGCGGGTCTCGATCCCTAGCCGCGATCCTCGGTTGCTGCGACAACGCGCTCCGCCGCCAGCGCGACTGATGGCGCCTCAGCACTGCGTTCCACTGCACGCAACGTCCTTGCTGCAGCAAGAGCCCAGCTCCATGCAGCTCGAGCCCGCACAGTCGCTGCAACCACCCGCTCGTGCCGCATCGCCATTGCCTGTCGTTGTCAAACCCGAGCCAAATACCGAGCTACGGCCACCGGTCGATCGAGCACCCATGCCGCCACGCGTGACTGCGTCTTTGGTGCAAGAGCACGTCCCGTCGCCACGCCACGAAGCGACAAGCTCGCACGTACGCCCAGAAGTCTTGGTCGTCGCCCGTCCAGCTCCGCCGCGTGTACCCTCCATCATGGCCAAGCCCAAGCCGAATCTTGATCCTCGGCCGTCGGTCGGTCAGTCTCTACAGCATGCCGTCACTGCACCTCTGTCGCAACCACGGCAACTCCCGTCGCCTCGCCCACAACCACCGATAGGTCCACCCGCAATTGCAGCGTCTCCTGCACCGTCTGTGGTGATCAAGCCCGAGCCGTCGGTCGGGTCGCCTTCTGCTGCCCTGCAACCACACGTTCCTGCACGTCGTGATGCGCCACTGGCTTCCCCAGCTGACCGAGAGAGCCCGACTGCTGACGTTGTCGTCAAGCCAGAGCCGCTTCAGTCGCTGCCGCCGACACCACACCAACCGGTCGCGCAACATCGCGACCTGCCTTGTGCACCGGTTGCCTTGATTCATCCGGTGGTGCAAGCCGAGCCGGTGCAGCCCGCCACGGAGGTTTACGTCAAGCCCGAGCCTCGTCATGAGCCTGTCCGCGCTATGTCGAACCCACACAGCATTCGACCCCGAGAGACCCGTCGTGTGCACGCCGCTATACCACCGATGCCCTCGAGTCATCCAGTGGTGCAGACAGCGCCAGTGCAGTCCGCCACCGAGGTTTACATCAAACCCGAGCCCCGTGCTGTGCCTACCCGCGCTACGCCAGTCGCTGGGCCCGATCAACCTGGCTTTCAACCTCTCTCGAGTCATCCGGTGGTGCAAGCCGAGCCAGTGCAGCCCGCCACCGAGGTTTACATCAAGCCCGAGCCCCGTCTCGAGCCTGCCAGTGCTGCGTCCCGACGCCCGACGAGCGCCTCGGCCCTCGCACACGGTCTCTCAGAAGCGCCGCGGGCAGGGGCAGGGAAGCGGAAGGCGGATGCCTCGGAGCGCACCGACGGCAAGCGCGTGCGACACGAGATGCCCGCCGACTCTACGCTCTGCGCGCAGCCGACGCGCGTCACGAGCCGCATCGCGCGCTCAATTGCGTTGCGTCTCGTGCAAAGCGGTTTGCAACAGGTGTCACAAGTATCAAGTTGATACCTATTCAGAGTGATGGTGTGTAGGTGGTGGCCGGTGCCAAGGCGACCGTGCGATTGGAGGTACGTCGGGGCATCTTGGTTGGACGCTTAGGAATGGCTTGTAGCCTGACGCAGCGGACGCCAACTACTACACGCTCTCGATCACAGGCGCGTGGACCGATACGCTGGATGCGCAGCGCGCGCTTCAAGCCCTCGCGCCGAACCTATAGCAGTATTCTCTAAACCGAGTACATCTGAGTTCGGACGGTCTCGACAAGCAGTTTGCTGCTGGTTGTTTGAGAAAAAGTTGGGTTGGCGTCAACGAGGCAGGCGTCCTCGGACGAGCTGATCGAGGCGGCCAGCGCGAAACAGTGTATGCAGTACAGAGTTTGAAGTGTGGGAACGAGGAAGAGGCGGCGGAGTTTGGTATGTTATAGCAAAGGTATATATAAGCGATGCATCTCTTATATACCCTTGGTAATAGTAGTGACGCGACAATTTCCCACCAGACGCAGTGCTGGGGATGCCCGAAACAGAGTCCGAGCCACTGTTTCCATAGATCGTGTTCAAGACAGTGTATTTGAAACGCTGGCTGGTCGTTTTTGGTTGGGTGGGCGAATTTTGAGAAACGCATATCGTATCAGGAGGAGCCAGCAGCACGACGGAGCGCATGGCGGAGTCCAAGTCGTACACCAAGACGTTCATGCTCGTGTCGAGCGACATGGCCCAGAACCTCAACGCGCGCTCGGGCGTGGAGCTCAAGGAGCTCGGGCGGTCGGTCAACTGCCTCATGTACCTCGTCGACGCCCACGTGTACAAGGACTGCCGCATCCTCTGCCTCTCGGGCTCGCTGAGCGAGATTGACGCGGGCCTGCGCGTGCTCGTGGCATGCATGCAGAAGCTTTTGCGCGCCAAGACCAAGCCGACCTTCGAGACCGTCATGTACATGCACGACAAGTCGGTGGTGCATATCAAGTCCGACTTTGCGGAGTACCTCTCGGAACATTCGTCGGCGCGCCTCCAGCACGTCGCCGACGCCACGCACACGCGCATCTACATCACGGACGTCGAACGCATGGCCATGGCGATGCCGACACGGCGGCTGCACATTACAGGCGCGGCCGACAACGTCAAGGACGCCTGCAACCGGCTCCGCCAAGTGCAAGTCGACTTTGAAGCGTTGCCAGCGGACCCGACTCGCCTCGTCCATACACTCCGCCTCGTCTTGCTCGACCGCGACGTACGGCATGTCAA